GTTTCTCTGCCAGCTGGTGCTGGCGGGGAAGCAGCCACAGCACATTGCTCAACGCCCGCTGCAGCCTGCCCGTCGGCCTGGGGGAGCAGGCTGCGCCCCCGGGGAGCCCCAGAGCACGACCTGCCTGCTCACAGAGTGCTGCTCAGGGCCTCCGGCCTCGTGGGTGACGGCGTGGCCCGGTGCTGTGGCAGAGGGTGCTGGAGGGACTGGGCTTTTGGCGTCTCGCTGTCCACACCTGCTGGTGTGGCTGGGCCCTCTGTGGGATTCGGGAACCCCCTTTACCTCGGGGGGCGAGTTTGTGCCGGAGGTGCACTTGAATTTAGTTTTCCCTGAGATGGGGATGGCTCTAGAATGAGGAGTCAAGCTGGAAAGGGGAACAGGGGATGAGTCTGTGCTGTTTATGACCGTCCCAGGAATGGAGTTATACCAGAAAAGAACCAGACAGCATATTCTAAGGAAAACAGAGGAAGGACTTTTATCTTTATGTGCCTAGAGTATGCTTAACTGGGGGAACTCTGGGAAGGGAAAGTGAACCCGTGTGTTTTGGTGGGTGAAGCAGACAGGAAAAGGGGCCTTGCGTTTGGTCTGCATTGCTGAGTCCCTTTCCTCTGCTCTGTGTTGCACAGATGCCAGGGAGTCGGTCATCCCGCTCCATGAGGGCCAAGCGTACAATCGCTCCGATTCTCATCACTTCTGCTACACCAACACGCACATCCCACAATGGCACGACATATGGACCAGGATGCAGGTGAGAGGCGAAGGCAGGTCCTCCCGAGTCTTTCTGGGCCAAGCCCCTCCAGCAGCTGCGGCCGTGCCCCCGTTTGCTTTCCTCCTCTGTGCAGATCCGGGTCAACAGCAGCAGGATGATCCGAGTCACCCAGGTGGACAGCGAGGAGGAGCTAGAGGAGTTCAACATGTGGAACGTCATTTTCTCCTTCCTAAAGGAGAAGCTCAACGACACCAGCATCTACGTGGATCTCTACAGCAACAAAACCTGCCTGAAGGTTGAGCTGCTGGAGGCTAACACCACGTACTGCATCGTCCTCTTCCGACGTACGTCTCCTCTGTGGCGGGGGCTCCTGGGGTGGGAGGTGGGTCTGCCTGTGCCAGCACTCTCGAGGGGGCAACGAGGAGGTGGCCAAGCGAGCTCATGGTCTGAGGGCCAGCAGGGCTGGTCCTTCCTTGGGAAGGAAAAATGGGCCTGCAGAGGGAAGTGTGTCTTCGTCCATGGGATATAAAGTGGGGGAATTTAGGGCACTTGTCAGAGGTTCACCTGGGACGCTGCCCCTTTCCTGTCCTTGTGACCACATGGCAGGCTGGAACTCAACCCGGAGGGCACCATGCCAGGGTTCCTCTCAACCCGGACTCGCTCTCTTTCCAGGCTTTGACCCTAAACTGTTCCTGGTTTTCTTTCTGGGCCTGTTGTTGTTCTTCTGTGGGGACATGCTGAGCAGGTGAGTCACCTCCTTTCCCCTATGAGCTGGGGATAAGGAGGGTTGGGTGGGCAGTGCCTGGTTGGCTCTACAGCCTGCAGGCTCTCAGGGGGTTGCTCCCAGTGGGTGTGTTTGTGCACAGGCATCCATGAGTTGTAAAATACCTTGTACACATGTATGATCTCTACAGAAGCCAACTCTTCTACTACTCAGCTGGGATTAGTTTTGGCTTGCTGGCCTCGCTGCTCATCCTTGTCTACATGATGTCCAAGGTCATGCCCAAGGTGAGTGTCAGGCTGTCTGGAGGTGAGAGACCTTGCAGCAGTAGCCCCTTCTACACCTATATGGTTGTTCTGGTGAGAGTGGTGGAGTACATGGCCTTGGGGTACTGGCTTGTGGGTCTGGCTTTACATGGAGCAACACCTGGTAGCTGGGGGGAGGTAGCCATGGCTGCCCACTGCCTGCCTTGAATTTCCCATCTCCTCTCCTAGAAAAATCCTGTTTATTTCCTGCTGGTAGGAGGCTGGTCGTTTTCCCTGTACCTGCTTCAGCTGATCTTCAAGAACCTACGGGAGATCTGCAAGTCCTACTGGCAGTACCTCCTAGGTAGGTATGAGCTCTTCGGACTCGCCGGTTCACCAGTCTGCGTGTCTCCTACTGGAGCTGCAATGTGCTGGTGGAAAATACTGAGGCTTCCTGCCCACCTCGTTGCTGCAGACGCTGCCCTCATGCCCCTGAGAGAGGCGGGCTCCAGCATCAGATTTAACTGCAGCCCTGGCAGATGCTGCTCAGCTGGCTTCTGTCAGCCAGACTGAGCCCGCTGGCTCGTGCCTGCCCGATCCCTCTGCACTCCTGCAGGCTACCTGCTGCTCGTGGGCTTCGTGAGCTTCGGCGTGTGCTACAGGTATGGCCCGCTGGAGAACGAGCGCAGCATCAACCTTCTCTCCTGGGCCCTGCAGCTCCTGGGCTTGCTGCTGATGTACTCAGGCATCCAGATCCATCCCATTGCCTTGGCCTTGGTGGTCATCGCTGTCTGCACCAAGAACCTGGACTACCCCATGCAGTGGGTCTTCGCTGCCTACAGGTGAGGGCTGCAGGCACCTCTGCTTGCTCCTGATTCCCATCCATTGCCAGGCCTGGGTGAGCTGCTAGATGGAGCCTATGTCACAGAACCACGGCATTTTCGCTGGGGTTTGGGGCTCGGGTGGGTATAGTGGGGGAGTTGTGTCCCTTCTCCCTGAGGTTGGTGTGGGAGAGTGCCCTGCTTCTCCTTGTGGCTGGGAGCCTCCCTTGGGAGCGAGGAGCAGAGGCCGGAGGGACATGCTCCTTTCCTCCCACTGCCAGCTCTGACCCAGCTGCCCTGGGAGCTGGGCCCGTACCGGGGGTCCTGCCCCGGCTGGGTGGGCAATAACTGGTGCTACTCTGCTGGCAGGAGAGTACAGAGTGCCAGGCTCGGGCCGAGCCCACCTCGCCTGCTGACAGAGGAGGAGTACCGGGTCCAGGGTGAGGTGGAGACGCGCAAGGCCCTCGAGGAGCTTCGAAGCTACTGCAGAAGCCCAGATTTCTCTGCCTGGACTGCAGTCTCCCGCATCCAGTCTCCCAAGAGGTAATGTCCCTTAGCAGTGTGTTCAGGGTGGCTGACCTGCATCTCCATGTGCTTCTGAAAGCCTGGGGTCACTCTGTGCTGTCACCTCTGGCTTTAGAGATAGGGAGAAGGAGGCACAGAAGGTCCATGGTGTGTGGAAGCAGGGTGTGCCACAGGGGAAGGACAGATAACACTGAGTCCCGGCACTGAAACACTTCACCCTAGCTCCTTGCGTGCCAGGGCCTCGCAGGAGGCTGCCAGGCGTGCGTGCACAACATGCTTCTTTGTGGCTTATTCCCAGGTTTGCTGACTTTGTGGGTGGCGCCTGTCATGTCACCCCCAACGAGGTCTCTGTCCATGAGCAGGAGTACGGCCTGGGCGGCATCTTCCTTGAGGACCAGCTCTTTGAGGAGGAGGAGGATGACGACTCCTTTAACAGGAGTCACATGAGTTACTTCCACAACCACCTGGATGCTGATTGAGGTCAGCTACCCCAAACCCACAGAGACAAGGGGCAGAACTGCTGCTGCTTCCTCACTGCCCTGATGCCTGTGGAGCACAAAGAAGCCCTGTTTGCCAGGGAGAGCTGGTGCATCTGTTCCCAGCACCCCCAATCCCACCCCGAGCTGGGCTGCTGTGAACTCTGCAGCAGAGCCTGGTGGAAGGACAAGGGGGGCTGACACCCTTATCTTCCCCAGGCAGCTCCTGCCACGCTAAGGCACGAAAGCTTCTGTCAGCACAGCCCTGGGTGTTGGCAGGGGAGATGCAAGGAGCTGGTCCTGGCTGGGGACCACAGGGCAGGCGAGGTCTGCACTGCTGACAAGATGTGGGACGCTGGTCCTGTCTGAAGGTGGACTGGAGCCACCCTGACTTTTGGTGTGGGTGCTTGTGAGCTCCCCGTGTGTGAATCGTAGAGGCGGGGACCTCCTCCCCAGGTGTGGGTGCTAATCTGTCTCCTGCGAGCACCCTGAGCCCCATCCCTCAGCACTGCTGCTGTGGCCAGCGGACGGGAGCCCCTCTTCCCCAGCCCGCTGCCTCTGGGCTGCCGGGCGTCCTGGCTCTGCCAGGAGCGTCTCTGCCTGCCCAGGGTGGAGACAGAGCAAAAGGTCTGTCTTGCATGCAGGTGCCTGTGAGGGTGATGTGCACGAGAGGAACTTTGGACCTGTCCCACCAGTACCTGCGTGCTCAGCATCTGCCTGCTGCCAGGCTGCTGTGGGGAGGGAGCGGGCAGCAGGTGACCTGCTCCTCCTCTTCCTGCTGTTACCAAAGATGCCAGAGGGCTCCAGATGGTTGGGCTGTGCCTCTGCCTTGGCTTAAGTCCCGTGTGGATACCAAAAACCCCAGCGCCTCCCTGGCGGAGACGCAGCTTGGCTGGCCCATCCGTGTGCATGTTGCAGAGCTCGGGAGAAGGCAGGCTTGAAGTCTGCTTAGTGCCCCAGGGGCTTCCCCCGCTCCCCCCGGCTGCTGTGATGTGGTGGAGGCCACACTCAGCCTCCCTCTCCCTGCGCCTCTGCCAGGCAGTCTCTGGGCTGAGGATGAGTGTGGATGTGCTTCCTCCTCCCTGGCAGTTAGGCGCTGGCAGCTCCCTGTCCCCTTGAAGCTGGTGTCCTGCTGTAACATGGGACCCATCCCCACCGTGTTCCTCTTCTGGCTGGTGCGGGCAGGGGATGGCCCTGCCTGTGTTCCCACTCCCCGTGCTGGGGAGGGGGCTCTGCTCCCTGGCAGCCAGCTCAGCACCACAGGTCCTTGGCCTTGTCGAAGCACAAAGCTGGAAGGAACGCCCCAATCTATGCAACTTTCTAAGCAATAAAGCTGCCCTCCGGCAGCCTTCTTGCCCCGTGGCTGCTCTGCTGCCCAGGGCCTGGGCTCCCGCAGCCCGGCCTGTACCTCCCCTGTGTCACTGCCGGAGCTTTTGCTGTTAGTTTGTTTCTGTCCCAGGTTTACTCCCCTGCCCTTGCTGCGCTTTCCTCCCTGCTCTAGTGCAAGCAGCCTCTGTTACTGTGTCCCTCTGTCCCCTCTGTGGTTAACGACTGATTATATTTTTAATAAAGATGTATTTTGTAGGTATTTTTTGTCTGTCCCGCAGTGACCCCGGGGCTCGTCCTCGGCTCTGGCTCTTCTGCCCATGGGAGCTCACTCTGCTGAGGATGCTGCGTGGTGCTTGGGGGACAAAGAACAGGCCCCTGGGTGACGGGTTCCCGCCGGCAGCCCCAGAGCAAAGGCAGGACTGACCATGGCCGCAGGTCTCTCGCCCTGGCTGTGGTGCAGGCAGGTGTCTTCTTCCCCGGCAGCAGCCCTGGGTGCTCCCAGCATTGCCAGCCCCTGTACCTTGCCCCGGTTTCCCGCAGCCCTGGGAGGAAGCTCCCTTTGTTTGCTTGGCTGCAAGTGATTTTTCTCTGCTTGTTCCTGCTACGAGCTGCTGGGGTGGGGAGTGGGGCAGCGGCAGCCCAGCTGGGCTGGGACCCTGCAGGGCTGGTGGGCAGCCTGGGGCTGCTTCCCAGCTGGCTGGTGTGCTTTGTGCCTCAGTTTCCCTGTCTGCGAGCAGGTGTGGTGCTCTGAGGGAGGTCCCTCTGGCCCCCCCGCCCCTCCGTGGGCTGGACCGGGCCGGCACCGGGGGCTGGGCTGAGCTCTGCCGGCTTCCAGGCAGCGGACCCCTCTGTTCCCAGCCACCGGCCTGAAGCACCCAAGCCCCCTGCACCCCAGGGCTGGCTGGGGGCACCCTGTCCCCACAGCCCCCGCCCCAGGGGACCTCCACCCCACAGGGCCTGGGGAGCTCTGAGACCCAGCACCGGGGGGAAGACTGGGGCGAGCCCAGGGCTGCCCCGGAGCTGCACAGGGGGCTCTTGCTCTGGTTCCCACCCGTGCTCACCCTGGGGTCCCCCACCCAGCAGCATGGGAGTCTTGGTGCTGGTGCCCTGTGCAGGGGGAGGCTGCAGGGACCCACCGGAGGCTCTGCCATCCTCTCTGGAGGCTGCTGCCGGCGGGGCAGCTCCTGATGGAGCCGTCTCCATCACCCCGTTTGCCCCATCCTTCCCCACCTCCTCGCTCATGAACTTTTCCCCGGGGCACCGATAAGTGGGGCTGGGTTTACAGCCCTGTGCCTGGGCTGTAAAGCAAGGGTGAAGGTCACCCCAGGGAACACGGCTGCTCTGTAAAAGACAGGTTAGGGATCGGTGGAGCGTGGGGGGAAAGCAGCACTGTCTCTCATGGGAGCCCTTGGGTGCTGCTGGCTGCAGGGCTGTTGGGGGGGCCTGGGCTCCCCCAGCCCTGAGCCTGTCCCTTCCCCTCCCCAGCTTCCCCCTGCCAGGAAGGAGGGAGGAAGCGGAGGCTGAATTCATCTCTGCCCCAAGAATAGGATCCAGGTGTCCACGTTTCCTGGCCAGGCCCCCACTTCCCCCGCAGCGGTGGGCAGGAGGTGTCCTGAGCCCCCATCCCCACCACGGGGTCCTGGGCACCAGGGTGCCCCAGGAAGGAGCCCTCTGTGCTAGTGCAGGTGTGCGGCTGCCTTGTCCCCTGTCCCTGGTGGCTGCCAGCCCCAGCACAGTGCCTGGGGGAGCTGGGCATGGCAGGGGCAGG